TTTTGCATATTTACTTCAACTGTATCATCCACACAAAAAATACAGGAAATTATAAAGGCTATTTTAAAGTTAGCTTATTAAGTTATTTTACTCCAAAAACTAAAAGAAACATGTATTTGCCAGTGTTCCTCTGCAAAAASTACAGATAAATATATTTTCCGGTATTGTTACAGAGAAAAATATAATCCAACTGTTTGGTATAGATTACTTCAAATGTACAGCCCAAACAAAAAATACAGGAAATTTTATATTTCTGGTAGTTTGGTAGTTCGGTTTGTGGACTAACTGAAATAAAYATCTCTAAATGAGTAGGTTATTCATTTTTGTGGAAAAACTACCAGGAAAATATATTTTCCTATTTGTTCTGATACATTTTMAACCTGCTMTTTTCAGGTTTATTTCAGCCGTACAGTCAACAAAACRTAATATTTCTGGAATTCAGTAATGYCAATGTAAKTGTTTGTGTTTTAATACAGGGTTTATGAGCTAATAACCTAGAAAATGTGTTAAATCTCAGATTTTCACCAGCCATGCATGYAGCATTACACTTGAGACTCTGCAGCAGGAAGAGAGTCTCAAAAATCAAACTCCCACTCGAGCAGATCCACATGCATATGTGATTCTTGTTGTGCACGCTTACATCTTTTTGACAGTAATTTATCTCCGTATGTTACCTCCTCTTCAACAGCAGAGGCAGATTCTCGGTCAGCCAGCCGGGTCCGACACGGGAAAGCCCTTAAGACTGTCAGCACTAAAACACAGTAGAGTGGGAAAAACAGATAAACATGAAGAGAACCAATAAGATTGGATCTACTTGTTTTCCCAAAGAGAGGAGCTCCACTCACACTGAGTATTGGTGTCCCATCGTCCTCCGAGGTATCCCACCACCTCGCTGGTGGTTAGRTGACAATGGAAGTCCTATAAAGACCAACAGAGTGAAGAGCTTAGCTGCTTCACTTATCATAAATGAGAATCTAGCCAACTTTCCAACAAGTAGATACGCACCATTAGCAGCAGAACATTACTGGAGACAGCTACATTGAACGGCTGGAACCTGTTGATGGCCGAGAACGCAGAAAGCTCCACTAAGGTGTGGGGATCTCTGAGGACACAGGATCAAATGTCTGTCATGCACAGCACACCACACCACACACAGATGGAATCAACGTGTAAAACAGAAAATACTTGGCAGCATCTCTGGTGCCCAGGGAGCAATATCTGACGGGAATCCTCTCTCTGTCCGCTCGACGTGAAACCATCACRTCTGTGACAGAGACCAAGATGAAATGTCATTAACTTTCTGAGAGGAGAACAGAAGCAGAACAAAAACGAGAAGAGAGACCGTGTAATCCAGGCTTGTTGTTCTTATTCCTCTCATCCGCCTGCACAGCTGTCTTTCCTTCCTCATCATCCTCGTCCTCGTCTTCCTCACTCACCAGACTCTGGCAGGATGAGACATAAAAACAGGAAATTAGAAAACCGATCTTGACATTCATTTTTTTATTTTACGATGAAGTTTTGTCAAAGTGCAGAAAGCCAAAACGTACATTTTCTTAATTTAAATACAACTTTTTTTTACTGACATACATATTTAAAAAGGGTGGCCAATTAAACTGGAAAGCAATTCTTCAAAACACTTTCAGTATTTTTCTATCAAGTTTGTAAGAAACACGTTTTTTTTTTTTTGTCTGATAAAAATAAGAGATTCATTTTTAGATGTAACTGACATAATTGTTTGCTTATAGATGCTCGTCTGAAATGTGGATTTTTTTTCATGGCTTTATCTTAAATCTGGTTCATCCAACACAGCAAATGGCCTCACAGATAAAACTTGAGGCCCTTTTTAGTACAAAGGCTTTAGTTTCAACATTTGATTCTCCTCAAAATTCACCTATGACAAGCTGTTTTTTGTTTAACT